AGAACCAGACGTAATTACTATTTCGTAACAGAAAAAAAGAACAAAACCGCGTTTGATGCCAAATAATGACACTTTGTTCTACTTTAAATTACTTTCATTTGTAACTATTGCAAAGCATCATAACTATTACATCGCGATGTAATTAGTAATTTGCAGGAAATTTAGATCGGATATAAGAAATTTTTGTTCATTCCGCAATCGGTAATTACGGAGCGACATTATAAGGCGAAAGTAAACTTCATCTGGAAAAATATAGAAGGTAAAAGAAATAAATATTGGGAAATCCACAAAATAAAATAATTACTTAAAAGCCTTGAAATTTGGAAAATATTTCGTATAATTCAATCATATAAATCTTTATGGAAAATACTTTTTGATATTGGTAGGCTATAATATTTACTTAAATTTTTAATGGATTAGAAAGCGATTTTTGTAAAAAAATTTACGGTAGATACCATAGTCTTATAGATCATACTAAAATAGTACAGCCCTACGACAACTCGTTTAACTTTAAAAATTCGTCAAAGTTTGCAAAAATAAACTTTTTAATTTCCCGCAGGGTAAGTTATAGTAATGGGATGAAAATCGAACATGAAAATTTTTGCATATCTTCACGTTTTAGAGGTTTCTGAACATTTTGGCATACCTCAATATGAATGGTTTAAAAAACATTCGATTCCTATTGATAGGGAGATGTGCTGATTAGTTTTAGTTCATCCGTTACGGCTTTTGTCCTTGAGAAGGCAATTCAGTAGTTGTTTCTTTTAATTGTTATATATTTTAACATACTTAATTAGTATTTTAACCTTTTCCACTCGGATGCCGCCTCTCCGGCGACAAAATTCATATAAATCTCGGAATTCGCGATTGGAAATGGTGAAACTAACTATTTGCATTGCAATTTTCTCTAAAGCTAATTTTTACTAGACATCATATTTTTAGATTTATATTGTCGATTGAAGATTTGATATCACTACTGCTTGATATCATACAGATCTGATAAAATAAGATCAATAACAATAAATTCCATATTCTATCTTGTATGCTAATGTAATAAATAACCTATTGAGTGTTATTATTTTGATGATTACACTTTTATTCTAATATCAATTAATTTAAATCAATTATAATTTATAACTTTCGTTCGAGTATAATAAATCTATACAAATCTTTTAACATGTTTCAAAATCCGATTACGTTGATTTTAGCCTATTCATTAATATTTATAAAAGTTATGCATAATGTAATAAATACAAAGACCTTAACGATTATTTAAGTTGTATAATTTTGCAATCAATATGAAAGATAAGACGAATGTTATCTAATTATATATTTAATTTTATAGGTATTATATAAATTTTTATTTGGAATCTATAAGGTACAATCGATATTGATTCATCGTAAAAGTAGAAATTTGAGTTTCTTGTGATGATTTTTATTAACATAATTATTTTTCATGCAATTATTTGTAAAAACAATTCTCACATGATACATTTTTAGATCTAGTGAAAATGTGATATCACTACTGCTCGAATAAAATTATCTTAAAAAAAATTATGTATTCGACTTTAACTTGAACTTTTTCTCAAGTTGAATAATTTTGAATTAAGCAAATTGATATAAAAATTGCAACTTTTTGGTTTCAATAATTGAACTAATTTCTTTCTTAGTTCTCTTGAAATTTAAATTGAAATATATTTTTTAAAGAAAGAAACAAAATTATAATATTGATATATTTTATTTAAGACTTGTAGATCTTGTATTATCTTAAGGCTTGTATTTTATCCCTGAATTGGCTTAGCTATTTCATAACTGTTTCATAATTTCTTTTACTAATTTTTTTCAAGGCATCACCTTGAATAAATTCCGAAAAATAATTTATCTAATTTTTCATAGGATTCAATGTCAAGTCCAATTAAGTTACTTAATTTTATGCATCCATATGACATAATTTGTAAGCCTTGGACAAAAAATTAATAATGAAGTTGAATAAACTTAAGTAAGGAATTGTACTGCTGGTAAAACGGCAATAAAATTTTTATTTGGTTCCGTGTAAGTTGTCAATTATCACTAAGAATGCCGGTTGCTGATGTAATAATTTTGTCTAGATATGGAATTCAGAGAAATAAGTCGTTTTGTATATTTAAAATAGCTTGATTTGCTTATTTCTATTTTGGACTGAAATATGAAGTAGAAAAGCAATTATATGTTTGAAGAACACAAGTTACTATATTTTAAAACCAGAGTCAACTTTTTGAATATTGTTCGTGCGTTTTTATTAATACTATTAACAATTTAAATTTTATTAATCGCTCATTTGATAAATATTTGATATTATCTAAAGATATAAAATTCTGAATCATAAATATAACGACTAGTAATTTTAAACTAACATCGGGATACATATTTTGTTATCATTGTACCTATTTATATAGCATATATAATTTTTCTTAATTTCTGGATATAAGATAAGATATTATGTAAAATAAATTGAACTATATTTAAAAGCAAACAAATTCAATAACATTTAAACGATCTTCTTTTAAAATAATAGTGTTAATATTTGTGAACGTGAAGTTGTAATGAAAATATTTAAAGACGATTCATATGTAAATTTGCATACACAATTCTTAGACTCAAAGCATATTATTGAAATTGAAGTTTTTGAATAATTTATTTAAATTTACAAATGCTGAGTATGAACAAATATAAATACATTTATTGAATATATGCCTAATATTAATTGTTTGTAAACAAGAATAGTATTATTAAATATACAAAATATTACCTAGTTATGTAACAGAAAAATTGTCATGGTTAACATTTATGTAATCGATTTTGTAAAAAATAATTTAAGTAAGTCAAATGCTCGATACTCAATTGTTTAATAATTAAGAGGATAAAAAAACAAGAAATTTATCATTTACTCAAATTATGAACTTCCAAAAGGCATCAAACATAAGCTTGAATCACAGGAATTTTAGAATAAACTAGAAGGTATATAATTTGTATAATTGCAGAAATGTATAAAGCTGACAGATTTGAAAGATATGCATGAATATTAAGACAAATTTAACATACTTCACTATTATTGCATGAAAAAATTAGAATTGGCATTATATTAATATATAAGTTTGCAAGGTAAATGCAAATTGTTCAGAAATGTCTATAAATAATAGTTCAAAAGCAAGTTACATTATAGTAATGTTTTTGACCTAAAGTAATTTTTTAGTAAAAAATCTGAAATAAGCTTACAATAATGAACACAATTTGAAACCAATTTACAATCATGTAATATTGATGCTGCACTGCATAATGCATATAAAAGATGAATGCCGATGCATTTTTTCGATAAACTGATTACCTTGTGCTTCTTATGTGATGGGAATCAACAATATTAAATCTTAGTTGGGAATTGTACAGACACATTTTGCATAAACTATAAACTATATTCAATTATAACTATTTGAAGTTAATAATCTATTTTAAATATTTATGGAATATTTTTTATTTAATAACTTTTTTAAAAAGCAATTGCTTTTCGGATTTACTGAATCTTTTAAAAATAAAAAAATAGAACATAGACATAAATAGAACTCTATATGACTCCGTTAAAAATATGTAGTATCTGATGAAATGATGAAACTATTGAATAGAAAGCGGCATTAACATTTTATATTACTTACTGAGTTAATAAATTTAAACTTCATATGTCTTTAACTCACCTCAAGTTTTTTTTGTTCAACTGTTCTAAAGATGATATTAATAAAATACCCAAAAGTGAGAAAGAATTCAAATTCACATTTTTTATTTTACTATAGTGGCAAATCTTATTATTATAAATGATAATTATTCTGAGGACTAAATTAGCTATTAGATTACTGTTTTATCAGTCGCAGAAAAGACAGCATCAATAAAATAAAACAAATAAATAAATTAGCCAAGAATTTGTTTTTATTAACCTTTAGTCAACGAGTCATTTTAAGTTTAGCTAGAAGTGTTTTGGCATTTGTGTAGCTTCCTGTTTTATAAACAAATGTTAAATGAATAATATTGACACGCAGTTTAATTTTTAAATATAAATTGAAATTTGAGATCAATGGCATAATAGTATTTACAAACAAAATATTGCAATTTTATAAAATTTTAAGTTTAATTGAAAATAATGAAAAATTATAAATTTTTTAGGTTAAATTTGTTTAACCTAATTTATAATTTAGTGCATCATCAAAACTTCTAAGTTTTCAACTTGAATCTTATAAGCTTCGTGAGAATTCTCGTTTATTGGAAAATTATTTAAGTCTGAAATTCTTTCATAAATATAATAATTTGATATTTATTTGTCAAATACTAAATTTTGTCTCTGAAAATTTTTGTTTTTAGCACTTTTCCATGAATTTTTGCAGCAACTCCCGAATGTCTAAAATTCTTTCATAAAATATAATAATTTGATACTAATTTGTCAAATATTAAATTTTCTATCAAAATATTGTCGATTGCATAAAACTCCCAAATGGCTGACCTACTTTTATCTAAAATCAAAGATTTCTGAGAATTGCCAACATATATACATTTCTACAGACATATATCTCAATATCAAAATGATAATTTTATTCTAAAGGATGTCAAAATGATTAAAAGGTTTTGAATCGTGAATATCGAAAAAATGATAATTATTTGCAAAGTTAATATTTTAACAAGGCCTATATTTTATATTTTACATTTTTGGGATACAGATTAGACTCCATTTGTTGACTTGTAAAAGAGAGTTAGGTCTTACACTTCATATATCTAGGATACATATTAGACTAAGTTTACTTGACATATGGAAGAAAATAAGGTCTTATACTTATATAATCTCGCATTCAGATTAGACTCAATCTATTTAACTTTTGGAAAAATTAAGGCTCAATTTTTTTTGAGAACCTATTTTCTTATGTTCTCATATATATTTTGGATAAGTTTTTTATATATTTTCATAAGTATACTTTCTTTTCTAGGTATTGGTATCGATGACACTTTCGTGATGCTGGCAGCCTGGCGCCGGACATCACCACATCTGCCTGTTCCGGAACGAATGGCCAAAACCTTGTCCGACGCTGCCGTCTCCATCACCATCACCAGCTTGACAGACACCATTAGTTTCTGGATAGGTGTCATCAGTCCCTTCCCGTCTGTTAGGATATTCTGCGCTTATTCAGGTGAGACAATTTATCTATTTACTCATTTGCCCAACACCAATAGAGACCTATTTTAATTCGTATGGTAGACTTTAAATCATTGATCAAGACTGACCTATTTTTATGCTGATGACATAATCATTTTTCGAGTATCAGAAGAGTCCTGAATTGTGCAGTGTTGTTGGCTTCTTCAACTTTAAGTCAATTAAGTAGGAATCAATAAGCATTATTTGTCATAGCATATTTTTGTTAAATAGTAAGTACTAAAATGTACACATGGACCAAAAATCTCTCTGTCTTCTTATCTCATTTGTCCATTTTTGCATCACCAACCGCGGAAGCCAATCTTTGACAACAATATCACTAATATTCAATATCCGCTTTTTCGTGTAAGCTAAATATTTGTTGAATTTGTTTAAATTCTCATTCAAAGTTTTAATGGTTAATTCGAAATATGTAGATTTTTATTCATTATATGAACGGTTTTGGCATTCAAATCAGTTTTTTCTCACCCAATGACAAAAATTTTTGCATGTATTGGAATCTTAAGTTTGCTTTGCTAAAATGAGCTTTTGTAAATTCAAAATCAGTATATATGAAAATTAGATAATCCATTAACCAATCTTAGACTTCAACTCAAAATTGTGACTTCAAAAATTGTGGTAATTGAGGAGTTTAAATCTATGATACTGACTTTCATTTCAAGGAGTTTACATCTAGGATTGAATCTCATCTTTCATTTCCTCCTTGACAGTTGTTTAATTATTTTACTGACAATTGTTAGAATGTCTAAATTGAATAACTCTCAACTTGTCAGTCTCATAAACGAATCAATATCATTGTCAAGAACAATGCTCTATGTTACGGGTAAAGCTCTGGCTAATATTAAATGTGGGAGTAAGGCAAGTGTATATAATTTTTGCCAACAATGTCTAAGAATTAGTAGGAGAGCTGATATCATTAAAAATGTACCATCTAGATTTAATAATTCCTAATAATAATTGCTGAAGATTGGTATAATATTATTGGAGGTCACAGACTTTTCTGTTTTTTCTTGATATGCATCAACTTTGCTGATGATTTTATGTAGATCTTATGGGAAATCGTTACGAAAAAAATAAATATTGTAATATTACGGCTAGCCTATGGTTTTCATGCAAGAATACAAGTTTTTTACTCATCTCGGCTAACTTGAAATCAGGTAGGAGTGATATCACAAAATATTAGTTTCAATTAAATATTTTCAATTGAATAAATACACATAAAACGAACTTATTTTTTTAAGATGCAGATTTAAAAAAATCAAATTTCAGATTATCAACAAATTTCGATCTTTTACTATTTACCAAAAAATCTAGAATATCAAAAGAAGTTGTAATTTTTTTTAGACCAAATTTTTTTTTATGAAAAACAATTATTTTAACATGCCCGTAGTGCATACAATAAGGACATTATATTAGATTGGTAATATATACATACATTTTTCTTCAGATTATTTGGAGGGCTGAAATTATGGATATGGCTAGGTGCCAATTTTTTGAGTTCTTCCACTTTATCACATTTTCAATTTAAAACTTTACTACTTTTTATTTATTTTTTTAATTCTCAAAACATCAATCATGAAAATCATAGTAGGATCAGATATCTTTTATTTATTCTATCTAGTAAATTGCTTTGAGTTTAGTCATTTTGAAATTTAGATACATTACTTATTAGCAATATTTTACGAATAATAGAATAAGGACAATTAGAGTTATCCTAATTAGAATATGGATTGGCTTCTAATATGAAATTCTATTTGGCGTGATTTGTAATAGTAAATAACTTTAATAGTAAAAGTCCTGTACTAAAAATGCAAAGTGGTTATAGTGAAGTATCATTACAACAATTTGCTGTTCAAAAGCAGCCCAGAAAGTGAATTATCTTTGCACTATAGATTTAAATAAAATAACCATAAAAGTTGGCTGATCTCTAGAAAGACCAGCAAAAATTGTATTCAGAATTTCACAGATTTAATAAAATCTCAATCCGCTGGTGGTCTATTAATCTGTCGTTTATTAACGTCTTCTCTTGAACTTCTTAACTTATTCCATAATTATATTATCGCCTTCTGAGCGAAATTGCAGCAAATCCTCTTGTGTGGGTGCCTTGAAATCTTGCATCATCATCTAGTCCGGAAACGTCTTATCAATTCTTGTTGTTAAATTAATTACACGGATGCACTTTCCGCCTATTTAAGTGTCACTAATAAACGACTGTAAATGTGGTTAGTAATTTGTTTTAATTTTTGATATTATCAAGCGCTGGGAAAGTCACGTAGTAAAATATATCTTGAAACAAAACTTGGCGTTGAATTTAGTATTAAAAATCAAGAAGATGGTTTTGATTTTAATATATTTTTCCAGGTTTTGCTGTATGTTTCACCTTCCTCTGGCACCTGACATTCTTCGCCGGTTGCATGGCCATCTCAGGCCACTGTGAGAAGAAGAATCTGCACGCGATCATGTGCTTCAAAGTGGACACCGTCTCTCAGGCGATAGCAAGTGAGTCAATATTTACTTTTATAATTTTATGCCAATCGGAGACTTTGATTACTCAATGATTACGTAAAAATCCAGTTTGCAAGACTTCTGTCGATTACGTTGACGGGATGAATCAGGTTTTAATAGAGTTGATTTAATGATGCTAATATTTACCTATACACTTCTTTTCAAATCATGTATATGAGTGCAAAGGACACAGACAAAATTAGTTCTAGTAGTTTAACTCAGAAATATTCGGAAGAACTTTGATTTTTTCACAATTTCTCATGATGGACCAATTCATAGGTTTAAGAAGCTTTAAATTTTCTCAACTTAAAAATAAGTAGTTTTTGTGGAGCTTCAATTAATAGACGTTTTTTTTAAAAAAAAAATTATAAATTCTATAAATAAAGGTGTATTTAAGAGATCAATGTTTACTTAAATATTTTGAATTTTAGATACTTCTATCATGATTCCTAAATCTGTAAGCAAATTATAGTATATAGTGAAGTTTTTATAAACATAATATCGAGAATGACCAAGACTCATTTAATATTTCTATCGGCAGACAAAGATATCAAGAATTTTTTCTGAAGGATATTCATCAAAATTAGCATTATGAAAACTTTTTTTTTTGTATTCATATATTCATTCGAAGTGAAAATTCTCATAGGAAATGAAATTCCTCATCTCCTCCAAGTTTTACTGAAATTAATTGTAGACTCGTGATAATATATTATAATTGATTTTCTCACATAATTTTATTTGGTATCCAATACCAAAGTTCTAATATATAAATATTTATTAGCAATTAATTCAGCATTAGAATAAATATCAATCTAAAATGCTTCTGGTGTCTATGTCTAAAAAATGTTGGTCATCGTATGGAGGAAGGTCGACAAGTTCGAAAGGTCGATTGTCATAAATTTAGAGAAAACAAATAAAATAAATTATCAAAATTCAATAAATCACAGATGAAACTTTAGTAATAGTATTTTGGTTTAAAATTCGAATTTAACAAAAAAGATTTTACTTACTTGACTCATATATTTGTACTTATTCCTTCCTACCATCTTAGATGAATCTTTGACTATTTTATTTATTAACAAATATATAAAAGCATCATTTTAATAAGATATATATGATATATGTGCAGTTGATAAATGAGGAAATTAATATTTTTTTATACGCGGTAATTAATATATATTAAATTATAGATTTTTGTTGGAAGACTTCTGTATAATAACTGTAGCCAAATTACATTCAAAATGTTCATTTTCACATGAGATGTAAAAATAATAAATTTTCATATTATTCTTGTTATCATTTTCAGAATCTCAGAAATCTATAACCATATTCGATTGTTTTGACCCTATTTTATTTTTGAAAAATTAGTTACTTACCTAAATATTAAAATGTAAAAATCACCAAAACTTAAAACAAGTACGAAAAAAATACGACACGAGAAAATAGTTTGATATCTCGTAAACTATGATAAAAGCATCGTGAATGAAGCAATCTAGGATGAAGTAAGTTTGCAATAACCACAAAAATTACTAATTAATTAAATTTAGATCTAATTTTAAAAATTGTAAAATTAAATTAAATCTAATTTTATTAAAAAATAATTATACTTACTCGAGCATTTACAATAAAATTAATGCCATTATATCACACTTACAATTTGCTGTCGCTTTTACAGCTGCAATATATTATATAATTCTTTTGCACTAATTCATAATAAAGTTGTTAAATTTCATTTTACCTAATAATAATTGCATTTACATATGTAACGTATGTATTACACCTAATGTGTCAAGATTGGCGCAATTACATTTTACATACTTGAACTTTGAAGAAAAACTATGTTTCATGTAACTTCAACGATTCAAAGAAATTGAGAGTTTAACGGTATTGCCACAAAATCCCTGACACATATAATATATAATATATAAATATGTATATATATATATATATAAATTTACACATATATATATATATGTATATATATATATATATATTTATATGTATAATTATATCTTGATGTTACGTGATAAAATTGCACTTACTCATTAGAATAACTCAACAAAGTTCCACAATATCATGTTTTGCGTTTACGACTAATCAAACAAAATTTATTACTTGTACTATATTGATAATATTATATATATATATATATATATATATATGTATATATGTACGTATATATACAGGGTGTCCCAGAACTTAACGTCACGCCGAAACAGCAATAAGTGTCCTAAAAAAAATATCTCACGTTGTTTGGAAACTATGAGCTTTTAAGTGCAACCTTGAGCTTTGGTGAAATTAAGACTATTTTTCGGTTATTCCGGTTAATTTTCACTAATTTTGTTTATTTAAACTGTGACTATGGATAACATTTCTAGGACCACAGTAAAAAACAATAATGCAATTGAACCAAGTTTTCAAGAATCAACCTTTTTGTTGATCTATGAGTATAAAGTTTTTATATCGTCCACTTTAAGAGACCATCATTTAAAAAAAAAATGTACTAAAGTGTGTTGGCCAGTATCAACAAAAGTTAGCATATTTAATTAGGATAGTAAAATAGTAAAATACTTGATAATTTTATTATTGAAAAATTTTGAGTTAAAAATTTAAAACCGATAATGACATGATTTTTGCTAGTGCGTTTTACTCACAATGAGTTCAAATGTTTGTTTGTCTCAGCTTTATTTCAAATATTATATATATACATTTATTTTAAAAACATATATATCAAAACAAATTATAATGAGTGAATTAAAAAAATTGAATATGTTTGCAAATTTAGTTTTTAAGATTAAACAAAATCAATTTACTTAAAATATTAAAACATTGGGATTCAGAATTTCTTTGGCTACATAGTAATTTTGGCTCATCAAATTATATTTGATGATATCAAGTTTAATTTTCTAGTTTTTTTAGTACTTGACCAGGAGGCAGAATTACTACAATAATTATACGACTTACTATTCTAGCACAATAATATGTTATTGTCTTTTCATATACGGAAATGGAAGAAAATTCTTTGTAACAACTGGCACGAGTGCATTGAATGGATGCATATTAATATATAATATGTGCATGCTATTTCTTCAGTTTTCTAGAAAACTAATTGAAACTTACATTAATTCACGCACTCGATATAATAAAACGCATAAAAATAATTAGAAAGACTCACTTATTGCTTGAAATTGAAATAAATACATAGTTGTACATCGCTCTAATTATTAAACATTGCTAATTGTAACATATATGATAAATAGATATATGATTATAGACCTAATATTTATTACTATTGCGCAGAGTATATTCTTGCAATAATTTTCTATGAAGCCGAGCCTTCCTTTGCGTAAAACTAATCATTACAAATTGAATTCTTCTTTTTTTTTAATTTGATTTTTTATTTAAATTTTGAATATTTTTTGAAGGTTCTAAATTTTTTAGAATTTTTGTAAGAAATCGATCAAATTTTTAAATTATTTGAGAATTTGAAAATTTTTGAAAATATTCTATTCTTTGAAAAAACTGCATAACCATTTTTACACCCTTTGCGCTCCATTCCTCCTTGCCATAACAACGCTATGTTACGGTCTATTTTACCGGAGAATTGGTCTCATAGAATAAAATATTTTAACAAGTGAAAATAGTGAAAATTATGCGTTAAAGATATATCATAATTAAAAAAATATATAATAAAGCAATATCACACATGGATAGGATAGAAATATTGTATTGCCATCTAAAAGAAAACCATGTAGTTAGGAAGTACCACCACAATAGCTCATACAACTCTTAAGATTTGACTAAATATTTGGAATCTTTTAACTTTCAACTTTCTTTTTAGTCCAGTCATTTAAGCTTAAATTAGGTAAAAATCTTGGAATTCGAGATAACCAGCTGTAGGTCTGTAAATGACATGTAAAAGTTGTCTCAAAACCTACATATGGTAGAGTGTACGTACCACATGTAGGTTTTGAGACAACTTTTAAATGTCAATATACCAGTATTTACACACTTAAAGCTGGGCATCTCGAATTCCGACGTGAACTTACTATAATGACTGGACTATTATCCAAGTTCGTCCCTGTATTGCAATAGTTGCTGCATTACTTACATTACTAGAATGACATAACGATTCATTTTAGCACATTGACACTTTTAGCAGTACTAACAATCGTAATCATCGCGCCTGCACTTTCTCCCAGTAGTATTGTATGTGCATTGATATCCAAACATTGGAACACTCGTGCATATATTAAAAGTGCTTTTTTAAATTAAAAGTAGGACATCTTATGTAACAGAGAGACATAGTATAGAGATGTTGAGTGTAATACATATTAGACGTTGTTTGATTGCCATCGTTAGAGCTTTGCTGGAAGGAAAGCTCTGAAAGAACCATACTTTTTTACCCAATTTCCTCACTCTTTTATAGTGTAGAATCATACTCTAATTTAAAAATTAAGTAAAAGTTTTCTTTTTTAAGCTGATATGTTCAGAATCTTGGATTTTTTGTGTATTTTCTTAATTTTTTTATTGACTAAATTATTTGTCATTTGTATTCCTTCATATAAAAATTTAATATTACTTTATTAGTTCCTTCTTATATGTCTTTACATATACGATTTTTTATGGTACGATGAATGGAAAGGAAGAAGTTTGGATTAGAACATTTCTTCTAAATATAGTTAAATTCATATAGAATGATAATTGCTCGATTCACAATTGTCTGTCATAGATAAGATCTATCAACTAATATTATGAAAAATAAATATTTAGAATGTTTTGATATTGACTATATTCGCTTTGAAAAACATTCAATCAGCTATATTACTCTACTTATTAAAATTATTTAGCTATATTACTCTACTTATTAAAATTATATTATTCAGCTATATTACTCTACTTATTAATTTTTTATGTATAATAAATTTTATTTTTAATCAATATATTAATATTTTTAATTATGACATCCATATTTTTGTAAGTGACTATTACAG